CTTCCAATTTCAGCTTCCTTCTCACTAGGGCTTCCCTACCCCAGGACAGGCCTGTGTTTTCCAACCTCTCGGAACTGCCCTCACCCATCTCCTGCACAAATCTCAGCCCGGGTCATCACCCTCTGGTCTGAATGTCTAAAGAACTTACTGCTAGAAATAGTTAGGTCGTCCTTAACACATTGTCACCTTATTTACCAATTACTTTATGTTTAACTAGTTCTTACTCAACACCTTTCATAAGCTAGTCCCCACCTACCCATTTCTACTCTTACTTCCTCCACTTCTTTTCAATCTTTGCACACAACTCCTACCTGTAAAACGTATTCACCCTTTCTAACCTAGCTCAGACGTGAAGTTTTAACCTCACTTCTCTTTGGCAGAGCTGGTGGTTCCACCCTCTGGCCTTAAACTCTGTTTACTGGTCGTCAGCCCTGTATTGGAATTGGTATTCCTAGTGTTTGTCACGGAGCACAGAGTGGAGGAGAGCAGAGATATGACTGAAACATCTCATCTTCCAAGCTACCCCACAGTGCCTATGGCTGTACCACACAGACTCAAGCTCCAACAGCAACTAATGCCTTTTGCGAAGTGCTTACTGTGTGCCGGGACCTGAGCTCCGTTACCGATTTACTTGCAATAGCTACCCAACTTGATTCTATACACAGCTCCGTAAGTGCTATTAACTTCAATCTGCAGACAGGGGAACTGATGCTCAGTGGGACAAAAAGCCCGGCCCAAGTTTGTTACGCTGCCAGCCTGGGGACAGAGGCGAAACCGAACCCAGGCCTGGACCCTCTGCCCTTAGCCGGGTCTCAACTACATCCCGGGGTCTAGACTGCGGGCTCCGCAGACAAACCCCGAGCGGGAGAAGTGGTCAGCCCTAGGTTTCATTCCATCCGGGAGGAGGTGGCGACGACCCCTGCGTCCCTCACTGCCCGGTGCCACCGGACAGGGGACCAAACGGGCCCGGTCGGGCCAAGAAGCCTGACGCTAAAGAGGCTGGTGCTGAGGGCGGTGGGGAGAGAGGGGAGTAAGAAGGGGAGGAGGCACATCCGGAAAGAGGGCTGCAATTTCCTGACCTCAGATCCACGCCCGTCCAGCCTGGAGCCTGAAACAGAAGGCCCAAAAGTCACTCTCCGCAGTCCCAAGTCAGCCCCGGCCCCACACCACTGCTGCGCGAGATACCTGGCCCGGGTGGAAGGCGCAGTCCGCCGTCGCTTCCGAAACTCCCGCCTACCAGAGGCGCCTGCGCGGCCGGAAGCCTGTCTCTAACAAAGCGCATGCGTACACGGGTGTTCGCTGAACTCGCCAGCCCCGCCCCCTGTCCAAACCCCGCCCGGTCTCGGCGGTGACGTCACCACCTCCCTACCCACGCTCCGCCCTAGACCCGCGGTGCTCTGTTGGCCTTTGCTCAGATGAGTTCGTATAAAATGAGTAAACAAAGGCCCAGAGAAATAACAGCCGGAGGAATACAGCACACCAGAAGACAGCTGATGCCCTGTCCCTGTCGCTAGATCATAACCCCGCTCTCTAACTCCAAAACTGTGGGCCGCGACCGCCCCCGAGTGGTCTGAGCTCAATTTGTGTCAGCCTAGCCCACTCCTGCTCTGGGACTGTTTCTCCTGTGGCCCCTTTAATAAATGGCAAAGTTCAGGAACTCTCCTCCAGGCCTCATCACAAACCACTGCTCCCCCAACTGCTGCTCCCATCCTACCCTGCTTCTTGTCCCTATTCTTTGCTCAGGCCCTTTATTTCCTCCTGCCTAGGAAGCTCTTCCTTGATTTTCCTAGAATAACAATTTTAAGCCTTAGCTAAGGAATCATCTCTTCTAGAATCTTCTCTACAGCTGAAAATCATGTCCCTTCCAAGAGCCCAAACCTGTGCCTGCCCCCATCCATTGCTGGTTGGAAGCTCCAGAGAGCAGGCTGCTTCCTCAGCCTTCAGCTTGGCACCAACAAAATGTCCCCTTGTGGGCCAGCGAGGCTTGGTTAAGGTAGCTGGATCCTACATAGCCGACTGTGCAGTTCCAGTCTGATGAAGATTTGAAAAAATGTCAAGAGGAGAATGGAGGAGAAGTGATTGCAGTGTGACCATTCCCCCTGGGGGTGATGGTTGGGGGCACTGGGCTCCCACATGGTTGACCATGGTTTGAATCCCAGACCTGGCAGCTTGCTTTCTTTCTCTCTCTGTGTGTGTCTCACTCTGGTCAAATTGAAATAACAATAATGATAAATAAAGGAAATAATTTTTTTAAATAAGAAGAGCAGTCTACAAAGTCTGGAGGCAGGACTGTGGTCATCCTTCCACAGCAGTTGCGGTCGGTCCTCAGAAATCTTCTGGTAGAAGAAAGAATTCTGCCTTCTGGAAATTTCCACTCTGTGGTTGAAGCCTGTTGGCTTTTTTTTTTTTTTTTTTTGGAGAGGTTTCTGCTATAGGGTGCATGCGCTTGCCAGAGAGACAGAGAGAAAGCGAGAAATCCCCCCTATGGGGGATGGCCACACCACAATCCCTTCTCCTTCATTCTTCTCTCGGGACCTTGGGCACGCACGCACACGCGCCCGGCGTGAGTTTAAGCCACCGGGTCTGGGATTCAAACCGTGGTCAACTACATGGGAGTCCAGCGACATAGCCATTACGCTAACTCCTGGTCCCAAGCCTGCTGGCTTCAATAGCCATCTGAAAACACAGATTTGCTCTTGGTTCCCTGAAGGTCACTTTCTAGGGGCTAGCAGTACTCGGTTCCTTCTATGCTTGCCTCCCTCTCTGAATCCTCTTTTGTCGACGTGTCAAGAGCAGAACTCAGTGTTCCCGGCCAAGGCTAGTCATCCTAAGGCATACTGAGAATATTGTCTCACAGAATCCAGACCCACTACATCATCTATGTCCTTTCCCCTCCCTGTCCACACGATGTATAAAACTCCCTTCCCTATAAGGCATGGTGTGGCCCGGCCCAGCCTCTCCTTTCTGTTCCCAGTCATGATGTGTTCTCTTTCCCCATGGGCTGTTCATCTGCCCTCGGTCTCCCGCCTACAGCACACCATCCACTTCATCTGACAGCATCTCAAACTTAGGTGCCAATTCAGATGCCCCTTCCTCTGCAAAAGTCTTTGCTCATTCCTCTGGGATTTCCCCCCCTTCCTTTGTCATTGACATTTTATTTATGTCATCCGGGCCTATCTTTTCTATCTTCAATGCCAGCACAGGCCTTACTATTAGCCCTCATAAAAACTAGAAGTATCCGAGCCAGCGGGTGGCCTAGTGGTTAAGGCACTGGACTCCCACAAGGCTGTGGTTTGAGTTCCAAACCTAGCAGCTTGCTTTCTCACTTTTTCTCTCTCTGGCGAATTAATAATAATAATAAATAAAATTAAATAATTAAAAAATATATAAAAGTATTATGTGTGGTAGTTAGCTTCTGAGATGGCCCCCATGTATTCTGCCCCATGGTGTTCATGACCTTGTGGAGTCCCATGTTGAGGACAGACCCATGTAACCAATAACATATCACAGAAGTGACAGTGTGTGACTTTCAAGACTTAGTTATGAATGACATGGTGACCTCCACCCTGTTGCCTTGTGGCTCACTTGCTCTGGGGAAGCTTGCTGCCATGTTGTGAAGACACACACACAGCACCATGGAGAGGCCCACAGGGTGAGGGACTAAGGCCTCCTGCAGATCTGGGCCACTTGCCAGGCGTGTGAATGAGCTACTTTGCAAGTTCCAGTCAAGCACTCAAATAACTGCAGCTGAGTGACATCTGTCTGCAACCTCATGGGACTCTGAGCTCCTGAATTCCTGACCCCCTGCATCTGTGGGATATAATGTTTGGGCATAATTAATGACAGGGCAACAGCTAATTAACACATGTCTAAAGTGTCCTTTTGTTGTTTCTACATAAATAAATTTGACAAATGTTGTCTTTCGTAGAAAAAGTTGTTTTCTTCTTTTCTTTTTATTTTAGAGATTTTTGCTATAGAGAGCATGCACTTGCCACAGAGACAGGCATCAAGCGAGAAATCTCCCCCTGGGGGAATGCCCATGTCCCAATCCCTCCTCCTCTTTTCTCTGGGATTTGGAGTATGCGCACACATGCACCTGGCCAAAATCTCAGGGTGCCACTGCATCTGGGACTAGAACCGCAGTTGACCATATGGGAGTTCAGCACCTTAACCACTATGTCACTTGCTGCCCCCCCATTTCCTTCCTATTTCTTTTTTTTGGAGAGATTTTTGCTATAGGGCGTGTGTGCTCACCAGAAAAAGAGAGATAGGGAGACAGAAAGCGAGAAATTACCCCTCAGGGAGGCTATCCACACCTCAATCCCTTCTCCATTCTCCTCTTGGGATCCTGGGCACGCATGCACATGCACCCGGCTTGAGTTTAAGCCACTGGGTCCAGGACTCAAACCTACTCCCACAAGGCTGTGGTTTGAGTTCCAAACCTAGCAGCTTGCTTTCTCACTTTTTCTCTCTCTGGCGAATTAATAATAATAATAAATAAAATTAAATAATTAAAAAATATATAAAAGTATTATGTGTGGTAGTTAGCTTCTGAGATGGCCCCCATGTATTCTGCCCCATGGTGTTCATGACCTTGTGGAGTCCCATGTTGAGGACAGACCCATGTAACCAATAACATATCACAGAAGTGACAGTGTGTGACTTTCAAGACTTAGTTATGAATGACATGGTGACCTCCACCCTGTTGCCTTGTGGCTCACTTGCTCTGGGGAAGCTTGCTGCCATGTTGTGAAGACACACACACAGCACCATGGAGAGGCCCACAGGGTGAGGGACTAAGGCCTCCTGCAGATCTGGGCCACTTGCCAGGCGTGTGAATGAGCTACTTTGCAAGTTCCAGTCAAGCACTCAAATAACTGCAGCTGAGTGACATCTGTCTGCAACCTCATGGGACTCTGAGCTCCTGAATTCCTGACCCCCTGCATCTGTGGGATATAATGTTTGGGCATAATTAATGACAGGGCAACAGCTAATTAACACATGTCTAAAGTGTCCTTTTGTTGTTTCTACATAAATAAATTTGACAAATGTTGTCTTTCGTAGAAAAAGTTGTTTTCTTCTTTTCTTTTTATTTTAGAGATTTTTGCTATAGAGAGCATGCACTTGCCACAGAGACAGGCATCAAGCGAGAAATCTCCCCCTGGGGGAATGCCCATGTCCCAATCCCTCCTCCTCTTTTCTCTGGGATTTGGAGTATGCGCACACATGCACCTGGCCAAAATCTCAGGGTGCCACTGCATCTGGGACTAGAACCGCAGTTGACCATATGGGAGTTCAGCACCTTAACCACTATGTCACTTGCTGCCCCCAAGTTTTCTTCTTTTTGAACACTGAGCATTTGTTCCTCAGTGGTCATGTCACACTTCGAGGGAGACATCAATGAATCAGCACTGAGCGGCCACACACCTGGCAGGCTAAAACATTCCCAGGCTCCCCTTGCCAGGCGACTAGGGATGGAGTGGAGTCAGGTTTCTAATCTGCTGAGGGCCCCACCCACCGGGTCAGAGAAACCAGAGAAGAGGCCAAGTCGTGGCAACTGTTCATATGACATACTTTATTTCCAATCTACAACCATTAAAAACGCTTTGTAAGTTTACACTGTACAGTTATTCTCATGTCTGAAATAAGACACGGGCAGGGAGAGCTGGTGGATTGGACCGCGTCGTCCTAGCACCCAATCCATCCTGGGAAGGAGGCTTTTGAAGACAGGAGTGAGGAGGAGAGAGCAGTGGACAGGAGAGGTGGACAGTTGGCCCAAGGATGCCCTTGGTCCCTTCCCTCCCGAAGACCTTTCCCTGGGGGGGGGGAGGTCCTTCAGGGCCCACGACTGCAGGACCCTCACCAGGAAACCAGGCTGAGTGGGAAGGGGGCTTCACAGTATTGGCGGGGGGGGAGAGAGGGTCACAATGAGGAGGAGGGACAGCTTCTGGCTCTCTGCCCCAGCCGCTGGGGGTTGGAGCTGTTTTTTGGCACTGTCTACAAGGTCTCCCTAGAGTTGAGAGGAGGAAGAGGAGGAGAAGGAAGGATTTAGGATTCTTTCCTTGTGGAGTTAGGTTTCTTCCCATTTGAAAAGAGGCCATGTGGCATATGATGGGAGACAACAGGGTCTTTTGCCTCCTGCCTCTGTAGAACACCCTCTACTCCCTCGGGCACCACCCACATAGCCTTTTGTAGAAGCCAGAGGAGTGGGAGAGGTCAACAAGGCTGGAAACAAACCAGGGGCAGGAAAAGGAAAAATTCATGCCTTCTCTGGGTCCTCTTAAGAGAGGAAGAGAGACCACAGGGGAGGGTAATTTGTTTTGTTTTGTGATTTTTTTTTTTTTTTTGAGTGGGGTGGTTCCCTATCTCAGAAGTCCAGATGCAGTCAGCATTTTCCACCTGTTCTTGGCCTGGACCAACCCAGTCCCTTCCCAGGCAGTACTAACTGCTAGCCTAGATCAGCAGTTGGCAAACTCTTGTGCGTATCAGGCTTATCTGGAGGGCTCATTAAAACCACAGCTGGCTGGGTCCCACTCATAGGCCCTAATTGCCTAGGTCTTGGGTGGGGCCCCTCATTTGCACTTCTACGAAGTTCCCAGGGGATACTTCTGCTGCACAAACACAGGATGAAAACCACTGGCCCAGTCTGTGCCCCTAGGCACCTCATCGTCAGCAGCCTGGTGGCCCTCAGCTGAGCCAAGGAGCTGGACAATGGCTAGCAAGGTCCAGGCTCAGGGGCACAAGCTTCACCTCTGGAAAACTGCTGGAATGGTCTGTGGTGAGCCCTCCTGTGCAGAGAAATAGCCTAAGGCACCGAGGCTAGTGGCAGAGTTGGGAGAGGAGCCAGAATGCCCAAGCCCAGAGAAGGAATAGGGCTGCAGAACTCCAAAACAGGAGTGTTACAGGATCCTAAAACTGGGAGGTTAGAGAAGGTAGATCTGCCCAGACTTGGGCCAGGTCTCCAGATTGCCAGCTGAGGTCCCTCTTCATAGGAGTGGTTTGAGTGGCTTCAGAATGGAATGTGACAGGCAGCCAGGCCCTGACCGCCTCAGCCCTTCAGGGACGTTGGGAGGAAACCAAAGCTCCTTTCTCCACGGGGCATGGTGTCCAGTGAGTGCAGGAAAAGGAGGGGAGCAGGCCTGATGGGCTAGCCAAGGGGAAGAGGAGGGCCCAGGAGGTTGAGGGAGGCGTGGGCAGGCGCCCTGAGCAGGGGACTCAAGTCCAGCCTTGTGTCCTCTGCCCCCTTCGGATCCAAGGCCTGTGGATTCTGCAGGCTGCAAAGGTTGTTGGGTTGGGATGTGGGAGGGGAGGGCCAGGATGAACTCTAGCTTCTGCCAGAACAAGCTGTTCTGGAGGTGGTGAGGCCTGAGGGAGAGCGGAGGGGATGGCTGGATGTCATGGACAGATGGACAGGTGACCAGAGAGACTAAGAGAACTCAGAAGGCAGCACCTGCTCTAAGACCAAGACCACTCAGACCTGGGCAGGCAGAGGAGCTGGAACGGGGGCAGGGGGACCCAAGCCCCCTGGTCCAACCATGCACCTCCAGTGGGAAGTGCTGAGGTTGCTGGCAGGAGGCTGAGGCTAGGGATATTTTTCTGTCTTTGGAGTTCCTGGGGCGTGATGAGCGCAGTGAGAAGGGCTGGCAGTGCTGGTACTGCCTGAGGTGTCAGGGAGAGGGGGCTTTCCGGGGTGCGAATATACAACATAAATAAACACCGAGTCTAAAACACCTCTAGGGCTGAAAGCACACAAGGGACTTGTGAGTCCACAGACGCGGGCGCTTACTTTCCTGGGCTGGGAAGTGTGCTGGGAGTGGGCAGGGAGGGCGCTGCTGAGGCTCCAGGAAAACCCTGGGAGGGAGCGCAGCCTGGAGAACATCCTGGGGGGTTGGGGGTGTGGGGGGATGTGGTGTGAAGGCCGATGCTATGCTAAACCCAGGGCCCAGGGCCCGGAGGAAAAGCTGGCCTTGGGCTGGGCCACCCGGCTGGTGGGAACCAGCCAACAGGAGGCGGGAGAAGGGGAAGCTTCAGAAGGAGATAAGAGATGAGTGGGAGGAAAGGAGCCCACAGAACCCAGAAAGAGCAAGGGGCTCCTCCAAGATCACAGGAAGAAGGGCCGGGATGTGGAAAGGCTGAGAGTGTCATCAATCCCTTGGTGGGGCCCATTTTGAGTTCACAGAAAGTGAGAACTCTTGGAGGTCAGCCTTTGGTGGGGAAGAACTGGGGAGGAAGGGGTGGCGGGGATAAGGAATTGGACGCTGATGCCTCTGCATAGAGGTCTACGAGCCACTGATGCACCAAAGTGGTTGATCTGCATTTCATATATAGTCATCATTGCTCCCGGGAGTCTACTTTGGCTCTAGGAAGAGGTCAGACGCAAGACACCAGAGGTTGCCCAGTTAAGGGTCAGTTATGCCAATTGGCCCCCCACTTCCTCTCTACCAACTGGTACTAACCCCACAGACCCAAGACAAGTGATCTGTAGGGGACTGAGATCGTGGGGTTCCTTGGGACTTTGGTTATAGAGAGAGCAGAGGTGGAGAAAAGAGAAAGAAGGCCAGGGAGGTAGAGAAGGAAGGGGCTAGTAAAGGCAGAGGAACAGCAGGAAGGGGAAGAAAGGGAAAAGGGCAGCGTTCCTTCCCAGGACCCCAATCCTTTGTGGGAACCCCCACTGTGGGTCAGGCAGTTTTCTGCTTTGGGAATGTTACCAAGATTTAAAAGGCATTGGGGAAAAAAAAATTTAGAAATTACATTCCAAAAGAGTAGAGAGTTTTTACAAACCAATCCCCCCCACCCCAAAAAAGAAAACACAACCAGTTACCAAGTGAAATACTAAAAATCAAACCAAACCAATATTTACATGTAACATTTTCAACCCCATCAAGCCCCACACCAGAGGCTTCCGGAACAGTGATGAGTAGCTCACACAGCGGCATGCAGGGAGAAACAAGGCTTCACCGAAAACCGAGACCTGTAGGATGACCCCAGCTGGGTGCTGGGACAATGACGATGGCAAGGACAATCTTGGAGAAGGACGATGGTAAGGCTGAGTGGTCCACAGGCCGTGGGCTTCCGGTCTTGTGGGGACTTCTCCCCAAGGCTAGGAGTGCAGCCTCCCCTGCTCTTTGCACCGCTGGGAGGTGACAGAAGGCCTCTGGTGGCTTGTGGCCTGGTGTGAAATCTCCTCACTGGAGGTGACCTTGGAGAGGACCCTGACCTCTTGGGTGGGAACAAGGGCATCCCAGATGCAGAAAGTGGCCCACCCACTGGCCTGCCTGCTCCACCCACGTAATTCAGGACAGCTCGAGGAAGCAGCAGCAGGAGGGAGGACTGACAGCTCAGAAATTCTGCCTAGAGTAAGGAGAGGAAGGAGGAGGGTTAACCCTAAAGGGGCGGGGGCTGGGAACTGGCAGGTGGAATTAAGAAGTTTCTTGTGCACCCTGGGGCAAACGAGCCGCCAAGTTTCGCCGCCAAGTTTCGGCTTCTGGTCTTCCTGATGGGGCATTCCAGAGACAAGCCAATCATCCTGGTGTTCCTACTCTGGGCCCCCAGCCACTCACAGGAGGGCTGCACACCTGTATGTGTGTGTGTGGATGCAACCAAGACCTCATACGGCCTCCCCCACCAAACTGTAAGGAGCCATGCTGTAGTCTGACCGAGAGCTCCGGCAGCCCCTGTGGGTTGTGGGGAAGGGCAGGCAGTGGGCCCGGGACTGGCAGAAGAGCCATGAGAGGCTGTAAGGCTAAGGAGAGAGGCTGGTGAGAAGGCTGGCAGGCTGGTGAGAACTGAGGCAGGATGGGAGCACTCTCGGGCCCATGTGCAAAGCTGCAAGACACAACACTCTCCAAGTTGTCCTCTGTTTTCCGGCAAGTTCGCCCTTGGGCAACTTGGAGGGATCGCCATGCTCTCAATGGAGCCTTTGTAATCCATTTCTGACTCATTTAAAAAAAAAAAAAAAAAAAAAAACAGGGTCAGAGAGGAGGAAGAAAAATGGGAAAGGACATGGAGAATGTCTGAGGAATGGTGAGGACAGTCCCGGCTTCCACCTCTCAGTGAGCGTTTACAGACTGACTGCTGGAGGCGGGCAGGTGCAGGCGCTGAAGATGGTCAGTAGTTTTGGAGGAGCAAGTTACAGGGCCCCAGCTCTGTTGAGGGGCCCCCACACCAGATCAGGAGACCACAGCTTGATCCCTAAGCCTGTCTGCTGAGCTGCCTCATCCACATGGGGGACCCCACGCCTGTCCACAATGTTAGAAGCCCTATACTGTCCCAGTGGCAAGAATGAATGTCCTAACCTCCAATAAATTACCTTAGGAACTTTGGGGTAAATTAAATTATTAAAATAAAAGTAAATCACCTTAAATATTTATAGCAAGAAAAGTCAAATAAACAATCTAGGTGAGAAATGTGTTTCTGGGCCCCAGTCTACCAAGGTGTCCTGGGGCACTGGTCTCTTGGAGGTCCCCTAGGCCTGACCTGGACAACTGGAAGTTTCTTACTGGGAAGCTCTTTGCCCTCCCTCCACCAGCTGCAGGATGTAAACAGTGGAGATGTGGCGCCCTTCAAGGTGCCAGGG